TTCAATCAGGTATCCCCTTTCAATTAATTTTTTGTTTTGCAAAACATCCAAGACTTTTTTCATTGTTTTCCAACGCATTTTTTCTACTAATTCACTTAAGTTATCGACTGTCTTTATTTTCTCACAACCCGATTAATCTTAAATATCAGTTTTTAAACAAGCTCACTAATTATTGGAAAAATGTCTATAGTACACTTAAGTAGTATCGGTTCATCAAATTTACCGATTTTGACTTTGCTATTTGCAATCTATTGTAAGTTCATGAAAAAAAAACACCGTTATGCCTGCAAAACATTTTTGCCGTGAACACGGATCTAATTTATTTCTAAATTGGTTAGATGACTAATGTTTTAAGTTTAGTCGTTGCTATCCATGTTTATAAATTGGTTCAATGGCATTTTCTTGCGCAATCTAATTAGGCTCGAAATGAAGACATATCGTTATTTTTCAATGTTTAAAAACACCGCATTATTTATTAATATCTTATTCGGAGATTTTTCGATAAGATACCAGCCTGTGTTTTTTTGAGAGGCTTTGTTTTTAATCAAAGTCATCTTGATGCACACAGGAAAAGAAATTTAAGAGACCCGTGCAGACATGTCAACGGTTATAATTTTCATATTTTTTATGATAAGATTTTGTGATTGCTATACATGCTCTGCTCCGTTTACTCTTAAGACAAACAATCATCGGTGGTAGATAAATTATCGAAAAGAAAATTTACTAAAATGTTGCTTTAATCAATTATTTCTTTCCTTAAGAAACTTTGAGACATTTGTTTTTTTCAGAGCTTTAAATTGGAATTCTACTTTACTCCCAATGAATTCTTCACCGACACCGTATTAACTAAGGAATACTTCATGAAGTGTGTTCCCGAAGAAGACGACCCATTTAGTTTCGAAGGGCCTGAAATTTTCAAGTGCATTGGATGTACTATTAATTGGAACAAAGTAATTAATGACTTTTTTATTTTATTTTGATATGAGTCGATGAAACTGGTAGGTACATTTTTATGGTTAATATTTCCTAAATGCAATGTGCGAGAACCTGTGAAATTTGAGAGGTCTTGTTCTTAATGCGAGGCATCCTGATGCACACAGGGAAAGTAAATGAAGAGTCCCGTGCAAACATATCGAACCTGCCTTGATGTTGATACTTTTAAAACAAGGTATCACTTCTTGGTAGAATGTATGCTTTGCTCCGTTTACTCTTGGAACAATTGATACATGAAGAACATTTATATTTGATAGTATCTACATTGAGTATTAATGCATATTAAAACTTCCGAAGGGTAAAAATCCAACTATTAAGACCATCAAGAAGAAGCAAAAGCATAAGAGCCGCGGCGTTCTTCGCGTTGTGACTAAAACCGTTCAGAACGATTCGTTCTTCAACTTCTTCAGTCCCCCAACTATTCCTGAGGGCACTAAGGACGAAGACGTTGATGAAGATCTGCGGAATTTGTTGACTAGTGACTTTGAGATTGGTCATTACATCAGGTGAATGATTTCTGACTTCTCAAACTGTTAACCATTACTAACTTGGAAAAACGTTTTTTTTTAGGGAACGTGTTATTCCAAGAGCAGTTTTGTACTTCACTGGAGAAGCTATTGAAGATGAAGATTATGAAGAAGAGGAGGAGGACGAAGAAGATGAAGAAGAAGACGATTCTGATACCAATGCTGATGGAAAACCCCACGAATGCAAGCAACAATGAAATAAGATTTCTTCTCGGCCAAGAGTCAGTATCTTTTAATCTTACTTCGGCTGGATCCATGGTATTTAATCTATTAGTAATTTTTGCAAATATAAATCCGTCATTTAGTCCAAATTTCACGCAGTCAAATAATTCAGGTGATTTACTACTACCCCAACTACGTTACTCTCTTGGTCAACTAAGCTAAATTATTTGTTAAGTGAATATTTTTTTACTAGCTTTAAGCCGCTGGTTTAATGTTCTTTTACTTTCTTATTTGTTTCAAAAGTAAAATCGTTTGTACTGTATTAATGAATGTTTCAAAACATAGTAAAATGAGATGAGATTACTGTTCTGAAAATTAAAGTACGCATTTTTACAAGCGTGTTTTATTTTCCTTATCCTCACTGGAATTTTAACCTAATACCCTACTAGAGTTAAAGTTTGGATAATTTTTCACGTTTTATTTGCGTTGCCAATAAACAATAGTTACGAAAAGTTCAAAATCTATCATTTATTGATTGAGATTGAGCAAGAAGAACGTCCTTAGTTGAGTTACTCAATCTTCGATTGTATTTTTAACGAATTATGCCCGTGTCAGAGGCAAGACTTTCTGCCCGTGTATTAGTGTACGAAAGTGTTTCTATTGGTTAGAGATCTGTCAATTCGTACGGCGGCGGACGCATTGACAGATGACTCCAACCAATAGAAACACTTTCGTATAAACGGATGCATGGGACACGGGCTTTAGTTTCGCGTATTTTTCACTTTGGTTGACTAAATTATTATTCAACACATTGAGTGCAATTTGCTGAGTAATGTGTACGTAACTCACTGGTTGAAAAGAAACCGTTTTGAAGTGCTTTCTGCAAAGGGATTCCAGATTTTTGGGATATGTTTTGGTAATTTTTTTATTGCCCCTTATAGCAAACTCCACACCAATGTTTCGAAATAACTTTTTTCCCGCTCAGTTAAAATATCCGGCTACAAAAATGGCGGCTGGAAGCCGCTTGTGACTTCTATTCTATGCGGCAAATATTCGGTGCTTTGCCATTCTATCCATGACAGATAATTCCAAACAGACCGCCCAAAAGAAGAAGACGTGTGGAACATAGCCGCAATCATTTAAGCGGTTTGAAAGCTGTCTTTGTTTGGTTTGAAATATGTTTAAAAATTTTGCAAAAACTAATGTAGTGGATCATAGGCAAGCTTTGTGTGTTGAATCATCGATTGTTAGTCCTTCAAACAAGATTTCAACAATATACAGCATTGGGGAACCGTATTTTCAACGGTAAATGCCGGGTCGTTTGGACATGATTTTCAAAAGTTTGTGAGTGTTTTTTTTCTGCAAATTTATGGACCATCCGCGTTTTTTCCGCTCAATTTGCTTTATTTCAAGTGTACTACTTTAAGGGAAAAGTAAAAAGAACGCCATAATCTGACAGTATAAAGTACATGAGCACCTTCATTTGATTGTAAGTATGAATATGGGTTTTGTCATTTACATCACTAAGTATGCCAAAAAGTGTATATATAAGTAAAGCCTAATTCTGCTAGAATCAATTTTTTACCTGACTTCTTGCAACGGAATCAAATTACCTCTTCAAAACTACTGGATATACCAATGAAAACTTTGCGATCAATAAGGCAATGAAAAACCTAAAATACTTTTGTTTGTCTAGGCACTCTCCTCCTAATTTAGTTTTATTTAGTGGCGAATCTTCAATAAGTGCACATATGCACATGGACTACCAACATTTTCAAGCCTCTTAGAAAACATTTAGATTTTATTATTCTATAAATTATGTCATCATAACATTAAGACATATTGATTGCAAACAAAATTGCTGAAAAACGCGAAGACCAGGAGAAACAACCGGCTCTTCAAGTGAAAGGTTTGCTTTGAAATTTCGCTTAGCCAATTGAAATATTAGTTGAGAAGTTCAATGTTTTTTTGACCTTTATTTTATCGAAGTTCGGTAAATTCATCGGCAAAAACCAAACATTGAACTTCTGAGCATCCTTTCGAGTGACCCAAACGCCTTGTTTTTTTACTTGAATTGAAATTCATCAAGCAATCAATGCATGAGGTTTGAAAATGCCGAACGTTCAACATACTCGGCCCTAAGTCGCCAAAGGCGGTTTATTTCTAAAGGAATAAAAAGTGCATCTGAGTGAAGGAAATGACGAACCTTTCTTGGAAGAATACTCCGCATTTTCATAATTTGTAAAAGAAACATTAATACATGAGCCCAAAAAAATCTGTACTTCTGCTCCCAAACGTCTATATTTAATGTTTGTAGGTTTCAGTTTGAGATTTTAGACCACATATAGTATCAAAAAGGTGCGTTTTAAACTTGAAGTGTTTAGGAATAAATCCTTCCTCATTAAACCGTTTTTGAACACATGCATGCACATTTGCAAAAATATTATCACTTTTTTGCATAACCGTTTTCAAGTGTCCAATGCTGACTTATTCATAAACCACTCCAACGAGTATTAATAGAATCGTAATGGATTATAGATATATTTTAATAAACATCAATAAGCGATTCTTTACAGATAAAATGGCCGTATTAGATAGACTTCATATTCGAGGAATTAGAAGTTTTGGACCTAATGATGAAGAAAAAGTCAAGTTTTCAGTCCCATTGACTTTGTTCCTCGGGCAGAATGGATGTGGTAAAACCACTATTATAGAATGCATTAAATATGCGTTAACTGGGGACTTACCAAGTGGAAGCGACAGTGGCCGAGGATTTGTCAATGACCCTAAATTATCAAGTAAAAGTTCAACGAAAGGGTCCATAAAACTCAAATTTAACGACTTCAAAGGAGATTCCATTACAGTAGCTAAGTTTGTGGAAGTAACCACATTAGCTGCAGGAAAACTACGATTTAAAAACATAAGTAATGCCCTGCAATGGAAGGATAATCAAGGAAGGGCTCAGGAAACTGAGCAAAAATGTGCCGATATCGATCTATACTGCGCTCAAAAACTCAATGTTTCCAAAGCTATTATAAATAATGTCATATTTTGCCATCAAGAAAACTCATCGTGGCCATTGGAAGAAGCGAAGAAGCTGAAAGAAAAATTTGACGAAATTTTTGGAGCTACGGAATATAATAAATGCGTAGACAAATTGAGAAAACTTATAAAAGAGAAAAAAGTATATGTGAAACTTTTAAAGGAGCAATTTACACAGAAAAAGATGGCAAAGCAAACCACTGACAAATTAAGGGATCGACTCTGCGATGAGGAAAGCAGATTAGAACGAATTCAAACAATCATAGACGAGAAACGAAATGAGATCAAACCATTACGAATACGGCTGAATGAAGTACATGTGATTATAGATTCTATCACCGAAACACATGCTAAATTAACTGGTTTAGAAACCAGGCTTAAAGGTTAGTATATTTAAACAATTCAGCTATAACTAAGAAATAAAAAAAAATCTGACAATATTGAAACATTTTATATTATACAGGGTGATAAGATCCATCAAGGGAAGGCGTGATAAGAGGTATTAATGGGATTATTTCATATACTTATGTTGACTTAAAGAATGTTTTTATTGCTATGAAGCAATTTAAAATTTGATTTTTAATTGAGATCCAATGTTATTTTTTACTCAAAAAACTAACCAGTTGCCGTTGGCACCTAGTCTAGTTACCAAAACACTGTTCAAAATATCTGAGTAATACGCTACGATTTGTCTCTTTTAATAATATTTAAGACTGCACTTCTTGCAACTACATTCTGAAAAAAATTAGATAGTGTTCAACATAATACACGAAAGAATGGGAGTGTCATAAAGTAGTAAACAGTTCGTATAATATTTTAATTTACGATTATTTTTTCAGTCTTAACTGAGATCATTGAAAACACTTTTTCCGAAAAAAATCAATAAAACTACCTTCTAAACACTTCCTATTAAGATTTGCACATCATGGATTACCCTGTATAAGAAGAAACAGTCAAATACAAAAACGTACAAGTTTGCCATTAATTGAACCAAGTGTTTCTTAATTTAACAAATTGTCTATGCTATCAATTTCAGGTGTTATGGATCAGCAATCTGCCCTTGCACAACACATTCAAAAAGAATTTAGTGGTACCGATGAAGAATTAGAGAACGAAATACTAAACTTTGATAACTTCAAAGACGAAGGAAACAGAGAAATTTTAAAAATCGAAAGCAAAAAGTCAGCTATCGAAGCAAAAGTCGCGGAAATAACTATTATTATTCAAGATGAACAAGTTACATTGGGCCAGCTGAAGCAGGAAAAGGTCCACCACACAAAGAGATGTGAAGAATTTAAAGAGTTAATACAAAAAGCTAAAGTTAAATTTGATCTCGAATGCGAGGAGTCTGAGTCCGTTTATAACATAATCGATAAACTAAATAACAAATATAGTACCAAAGAAAAGATGATGATCAATGAAAAAAAGATCATGGACGAAAAGGAGGGACGCCTGCAATCCAACATTGATAGAATTCGATCTAAATTGGCAGCAGCTGAAGAAAATTCGTCTTCGAAATCGAAACTTCTCAATGAAACTAATATTAAATTGGGAGAGACGAAATGTAAATTGGGACGTTTATCGCATTCTCATTCTCAATTGGAATCAACCACAAAAAAAATGAAGAAGTTTGAAGATGATCTCACTAAAAAAAAGGACGAATTTGATGAAGGACAGGCGAGTCGCCAGTTAGAAGATCTCGAAGAACAGATTACTCAAAAGGAACAGCTCCAAACTAAGCTTGATCGCGAGTATAAAACACTTCAACAAAATTATTGGACTGATCAAAAAATCGAATCTGAAACGTCGACTTTATTGGAAAAAAGAGCTGAAGTGGCTGCTTTAAAAGAAAAGCATGAACATAGCTTTGCCATTCTGTTTAAAGAAGATGTACTTGCACATGAACTTGAAATGTCTATAGCTTCAATACAGAACAGAGAAGAACAAAAGGCGACGTCCCTTTCGAAAAGCATCTCAACTAATGAACGAAAAATAGCTTCGTTAGAAGCAGGAGTAAAAAATGTACGAGAGAAGTTGGAAGCCCAACAGGAAGAACTGAAGCGTAACAAGGAAAAGATTGAAAGGGTTTGCGAAGGAAAACCGTATTCCGAAGTTTTAAATCAATCGCATACTAAAAAGGAAACGCTCCAGAAAAATAAGGGAACTTACAGATCAGCTACAACAATATTTGCAAACTTTATAAGCGAATTTGAACAAGAGGCACCTTGCTGTCCAGTTTGTGATACCAGTTTTGCTTCAAAAAAATCTCTTGTACCGAAGATTATTACCAAATTGAAAACAAAAATTGAAGACCTACCAAGAAAGTTGGCTGATACTGAAGCCCAACTAATAAAAGAAGAGGAGTTCTATAATAAATTGCAACAATTGAAGCAAGTTAACGAAAATATTCAAGTAATAGAAGAAGCAAAAATACCACTTTTACAGGAAGAGCTGCAGGAAAATGAAGATAAATTAGAAGACCTCAAGTTGGAGTTAGCGTCTCTGAAGAATGATTTGACTGAGCCTGAAAACTTAGTTGGCATATGTAGAAAAGTATTATCTGATGCTGCGTTGATTGACCGCTTAAGTCAAGAAATTACAAAAAGTGAGGATTTACTTGAAACCTTGAGGAAAGATTTAATATCTGTTCCTTCCAGTCGCTCTTTTGAAGAAACTGAAACCCAGCTCCATAAATTAAAATCTGAGTTAAAAAATTTGACAGTACATTATAAGTCTAAGAGAGATCTTTTTGACGAAACAAGGGAAGGTATTCGGAAATTGATTACTCAATTGCAAATGGAGACTCAAAAACAATTGGAAATGCAAAAAATACTTCAAGAGCAACCAATGTTAGAAAAACAAATTTGTGAATATAAGAAATCAATTCCTAAATTGAAAGAAGAAATTAAGAGCGTTACGGAAAAAGTTGCTACATACAAAAAAGAGTTAAGCGAGGCTGAAAGTAAGCGCAGTGAAACTGTGCTCAATAATTCAAAACTGTTGGAAGAATATAGGCTGAATGTTGACGCGTGTAGTCGATTAATTGAAGAAATCGCGAAGCTTCAAAAGACCATTCAAGGTTTTGAGCAAGGAGATGTCTCTGCTAGATTGGAGTCTATTAAGAACAGCTTGGATGGTCACAAGAGTGATATTGAGAAGTTAGAGCAAACCAAGAAGCTCCTCATTAACGCAGTCGTGAAGAAGAAAGAAGACCTAGCTAGCCAAGAGAGCAAGCTGCGCAGTTTTAAAGACAATAAAGAGTTGAGAGCGAGTAGGATGAAAAGCAAGCAATTGAAAAGTGAGGTGCAAGAATTAAGAATGAAAATTGGTAGCCATAACAGCAAATCTATCTGCGACGAACAAAGGAAGATAATGGATAATATAAACACAAAAGAAACTGAGATTAGTCGCAAAATTGGAGAAGAAGATAGTTTAAAGGCAAGTTAATTGTGCAGTTTTATCTTTGTCTGGAAAGCACCGATTGTGAATAACAGTTATGTAAATCATTGTGTTTTCTTCTTTGTTTCGAGCGACAATATTGTTTTAGGATTTAATACACAAGGACACAACAGAACTGAACAAAAAGGAGCACAGGGAGGTCGTCACTGAATATAAGAAAAAATATTACGAACTAAGAGTTGAAGAGTTAGCTGTGATTGATTTAGAAGTATACACTGAAGCATTAGAAAAATCGATATTGAAATTTCATCAAGAGAGAATGGTTCAAATCAATATGACCATTAGAGAATTATGGAGAAATATTTATAGAGGAAATGACATTGATTATATTGAAATTCAAACCGTTGATGATATAGGAGGTGGAGGTAAACAACTAATTATCAATCAATAGCTTCAGAGGTTTTTATCATTTCAAGAAATGTTTAAATTTTAAATTAATCAGGGCTTAATCAAAAAGTCTCTGCTCTCTATATGAGTAAATAGTAAATATTTTCATTTACATACTATACGTTGCAGTAACTTCATAATAGTAAATAATGATGAAAAACAGGTCTTCCTTATTGCTTTGTACTCGAATCTGTTTTAATTTTAGGTGCGAGGAAGAGAAGTTACAATTACAAAGTGGTTCAAGTGAAAAAAGGCACCGATTTAGAAATGAGAGGTCGATGCAGTGCAGGACAAAAAGTATTGGCTTCCCTCGTAATTAGAATGGCACTAGCTGAGACTTTTAGTGCGAATTGTGGCATATTAGCTTTAGATGAACCTACAACAAATTTGGACAGAGACAATATAACCAGCTTAAGCGAAGCCCTGTCTAGAATAATTACAGCACGTGAAGGCCAAAAAAATTTCCAGTTGTTAATTATTACTCACGATGAAGAATTTTTGCAAACCTTAACCAGAAACCAAAGCGTGTCTCATTACTATAGGGTGCAACGAAATTTCGAAGGATTTTCCGAAATTCAAAAGCAAAGTCTTTAGTTTCCAAATATCCTTAATCGACATTATTCCAAATTGGAGAGGTTTTTGTTATTTTTTATTAGTAACGAAGTTAAGTTTAGATTTAAGTTATATATTGATCTGTGAGATCTGTTTTTTAAACTATATCTGTAGCATTGAAATAAATGTTTGTTTTTCCGGAACGATTGTTTTATTGAGTTAAACCAAGTTTGGTCTCTCAAGAAAAGTCTCTAATGAATATTCTAATGTCTGGTTTATGGAATAGACTAACTAATAAATATAGTTCTGACACCGTTTTGGGTGATTAGTTTGCAGTGTTAAAGGCCTGCTAAAATATCCCGAGTACACGCTACAAAAATGGCGACTGGTTGCTTCGCTTCTTTGCGGTAAATATTCGGTGCTCTGCCATTTCAGATGAGTGAGAGAGATGCCATTTCAGATGAGAGAGAGTACTCGTCTTTTTCTATGATAGAAACCATTCGGTGTATGCATAGATCAAACTATTGTGTGAAAACCCCCTGAAAACGAAATGTATCAAAATCAATTATATAATATGAAACTTATTTTCGTATTACAGAAAAATCGACAATAGGGATTCCCATTTATCAAGATTAATAATTGCATAGTTTTTCGATCTGAAATTGAACCTTTAAAATCTACAATTGTTTCCCAGTGCATCTTTTAACAAAAGCTATGCAAATGTGTTTCGAATGAACTTTTCTCCCGCCGCCCAGCGAAAATACCCCGAGCATACGCTTCAAAAATGGCTAGCTGTTTCGCATCTGTGCGCCAAATATTCGGTGCTTCGCCATTCCACACGTGACACACTGTATGACGCATGACAGATGAGTGATATAAACCATCTTGTCTTCATCACAGACTACATACTATTCTTCTTCTTCATATCACATACTCGTCTTTATCTGTGCTTCATATATGCCATTAATTACCAATAGTATGTAGTCTGTGCCATTCGGTTTATCTCGTTTCGATACATATCTATGATACACATGTTTGGGTGAATAGATTACAAAGTGTTTTTGTTTTTGGCTCTCTTACAAGTGTTTTAAGTAATAATTCCACAATGGGTTGTGATGGTGGTACTATTCCGCGTCGAGATGAATTGGTGAAAACGAAGAAAAAGCCCGAGCAAAAGGACAAAGTGGCAGAAAGGGTGGCATTGTGGCGTTGTTGTGCCATTTCGCAGCAGTTGCTCCAAGAGCCAGTTGTTATGTGCCATTTGGGTAAATTGTACAATAAAATGGCCTTGATTGAGTCGTTGCTCGATCGCAGGTCGTTACCTGCCGAGTTTAAGCACATTAAATCGCTGAGAGATGTTAAGGACCTGCAACTAACCAAAAATCCCGAATTCAAGGGCGACGAAGACAAGAAAGAGGGCACAGTGGACCATCGAGGATCCCCCTACATTTGCCCTGTGTTAAAATTGGAAATGAGTGGACAATTCCGGTTTGTGGCCATCTGGAGTTGTGGCTGCGTATTCTCCGAAAGAGCCTACAAAGAACTTGCTATCAAATTTTGCCACAAGTGCAATAAATCTTTTATTCATGAAGATGTTGTTATACTAAATCCCTCGTCTGAGGAGGATCTAGTTTTGATGCAGACGCGAATGGCCATGAGACAAGCATTGAACAAAAAACTTAAGAAGATGAAAATTGAAGTTTCGAGTGATACAGAAACTGAAACGGCTGGTAAACGTGCCCCCAAGCACATTAAACCAGCAGCCCCGTGCGCCATTCCATTGAAAAAACTGAGAACGGAAACCACTTCGAATATTGGGAACGTAATATCGTCGGGAAAGGTTACCAAACCAGAGGAAATTGCCAAAATGACTTCAGACTACAGCATTGCCAAGGACGGGAGTGTTTCAGATGTGTACAAGTCATTATTTACGAGTCACAAATCTGAACAGGAGCAGACTAGGGCTCATTGGGTTACATACAACCCATTTTTTAATTAACTAATTGACCATTTTCGGAACTATTTGTGTTAATGACTTGACATTATTAAATGTTTGGTTTCAAGCAGCAAATGTAAAATTTCTAAAATTTTGTATATGTATAGGTAGGAATAAGATACAGAATGGCCATTGAAATTATCTATAAAAATTATACTATAATTGTATTCCACTTTATCTGTTTTATTCCTAATAGACCATCTAATTCCTAGTGGGGTTTTTGGAAAACAAGAAAACTAATTCAGCAAAAACGCTTTCAGGTGGTATCTAATTGTTTCGCCGAGCTAAAATTGCTATTAAAGTTCTACAGTTTGCTTCTACCTTTGAAGCAAAATGTAAAAACAAATCATGGAAATTGGCGCTTTATTGAAAACGTCCTAACAATGTTTGCTATATTTTTAACCGTTAAGGAGATAAAACGCTCTTAAAACTTTGCGTTTTTGTCTTTGCTTCTATCTCTTTGAAGGTAAGGAGTTTTGAACATGGAAAAGGATATCAATAATACCCTAACTAGTTATCCGCTACTTTCAACCGTTTTATTAACTTTTATAACAGAAATATGACGGTTTTCGATATCACATATTTTCTATCTTTGAATCTGAAAAATCCTATTTTTATGCTGTGTTTTGCTTGAAATTGGACTGAGCCAATAAGTTTTTGAGCAAAACACTCCTGATATCTAAACCATTCGTGCTTGCGACACGTGATTAATAAATTGATTTTCACTTCGACTCAAAACCCCGGGAAACTCATTAGTTTCTTGCAATGGCGGCAAAACTTGACTCTTTCGATGAATGATTTATTGAAACTGATGAGTTTTTTCGGCTTTTGGGTTTGCTCAGCGCAGCCACCAGTTCTGAAGATGCAAGCTAGTGGTGCTTGCAAAACGTCAGGAAGAAGCTCTTGTCCACGACGGCATAAAAACGCACTAGTTTCAAGCAAGATCAAGATAAAATTATTTTTTTTACGGAGTCAAAATTCTGCAAAAATTATTCACTACAAACGCAAAAACAGGCGTTAGTTGAATTGCTCAATCTTCGATTGCATTCTTTCGCGAATTATTCCTAACACTATTAATTAAATTAATAAATAATAAACATTATATTGTTCCCACTAATTTATCTAGAAAGGTTGTATTTTGACAGTTTTTATGCTTAGTTTGTTTCCCGTAAGAGCTCTAAAAACAGGCATTCTTTGTAAAACAGTATTGTCTTTTATTTTTTTTTACTCCTTTCATTTGTTTACAATCTATCCTGAGACAGTAAGTAAAAATGTTAACATAAAAAATAACTGTGTATATTTTCCTGACTGTATTTCAACTTAGTCAATTTTATTGTTTATCATTTGAAATGTTACAAAAACGTTTCGGTGTTTTTCTCCACCATCATCAGAAAAACACCGAAACGTTTTTGTAACATTTTAAATGATTAACAATAAAATTGACTGGAACCCAGGAATTTCTTTTGAATTAAAATAAAAAATAACATGTGAGTGTTCACTCATGTTATTTGTTTGCTTATATAAGTAAATATGCTGTTTATATAAGTAAAGCACTCTTACAAGCATGATCACTTATTTACAAAAACATTTAAATTGAGCGAACAATAGACTAGTTCAGTAATTCAAAAAATTTACAACAGCTTGAACAAGTTCCTGCGTTTCCGAAAATGAGTGTTGTGACTGTGAACTGTGAAATCAACCGTTTTCAAATTATAAATTATTTTATTTAAAAATTTCAAAAAGTTGTTACATTTTGTAAGGTGCTATGGAATTCATTAAATAAGTTATAGAAGGAGTTATACTGTTTTTTTATGATAATTGCTGTGCCACCACGGGCTTGATGGTCTAGATGGTTTGTGTTGTAGATTGAATAGTTAGGGATTTGAATAACATTTTTAGCTGTAAAGTGTGTTTCTGAAACTAGCAAAATATCAACGTTATTTGCAACTAAATAATTTCTCAATTCGATAATTCTTTGGCAAAGACCGTTAGCGTTTCATATGACTATTTTTAAATTGTGTTTATACATTTAATTTGCTCAATAAACATATAAGCATATTGAGCATTGGGGGCTAATAGTTGTGCCATCATTACTTCCAGTTTGTTACTGCTTACGTTTTGATTCGCTTGCGGTGGTTCGATGATTTGGGCTTGGCCGGTCTCTGTAGGCTGTTTTTGATTAAACAAACCGGCAAATGACCGTGATGGGTTTGCAAAATGTCTATTGAATCTTTGAGTTTGTGTGTCCTTGTCGACTTCCTCGCTCTTAGTGCTGGAAAACGCTTATTTTGTAGTTCCTTACTTATAACGCAGCTCTTATAACTGGCAGCATGATTACCAGCACAGTTGGCACATATGACTTGTTTAATTTTGATTTTAATGTGGCTTAGAAAAGCAAAAAGCGTGTTGTAAAAATAAATATAACTGTGATTTTTCGTAAATTTGTCCAAAATAATCTAGTAATTATTTCTTTGCTCCACCAAATCCTCCAGATTCAATCTGTATGTAGTTAACTAGACTATTCATATTTTGCTCCCGCTACACTGTCCAGAAAATTTGTAATTTATTTAATACAAGTGCGATTGAACTTTATAATGTTATATTTATACCTTATTTTACTAAACTGTCGTGACTGGTCAATCTTTTATAGAACTGTTTTCGCTTAGTTTTACGTTGAAAACAATCTATCCCAGAGCTTTTATATTTAAGAAGATAAATATGTTTTGCACTCTCCAAATAAAACTTCCAGTAGGAGAAACATTATTGAGACGAGCGTCGCATTTTGTAAATATGTTTCCAGTTAGAACTCAAAATTTGTTTCGCTGAGGTTTTTTCAAATTTTCAGACCCCGAGAATTCAAATGATTTTTTGCAGGATAGATAGCCATAAGGAGTTTTGCAGAGTTCGGATCAAGCAGGAAATGAGTGTTGTAACGGCATCAATGGCGTCCGAACTAAACAGGCTCTTCTCATCCGCATCGTGCGGATCCCAAATGGAAAGCATCAATCTTGAGCCGAAAGCGAGAAGGTTTTTTACGCGAAACACACAAATACGTACAATAAATCAATGCGGAGCCGCCCGTCACGCGCCGCATTTGGAAAACTCCGCTTAACCTGAAGAGCCCTGTTCATGGGAAATCTGGAAAAAGTTGGGAGTTGAAGTAGAAAGTAGGCAAAAATTGGTTTAAAATTGATTTGCTAGAAAATGTTGCTTCGGGATGGACGTGAGGTAATGATGGGGAAATCAAACCAATGTACTTGACACACTTCTTGAGGCTGCCCAGAAGGGGCAACTGGAGAAAAGGAGTAAATACACAGGTGGGGATAAGCCTTATACAAGCAGCACTTCCCTTATACTGTTTATATAAGAATTAGCTGCGTTGCCGGTTTTGTTGTAACCCAATAACATTTTCCAGCTTTTTAACTTCATCGGGGAATTATGGTTTCTGTCTTCGGGGTGGGTTGAAGAGCTTGGCTCACTCCAGGCGCAATAGAGAGTCTGAGGCAAAAGCCGGCAACGACATTTCCTTCTCTTTCTTCTCAATATCCAGGAAACATTTCGGCTTCGGCGTCGCAATTGCGATCATACTATTGATATTCCGCTTCCAGTTCGGTTCCTCCCATAGGCCCCCCACGCCCTGCGGTCGCGCCCCACCTTTTCCTAGCCGAACTCCTCGCTGAATTATAATATCTCATAAAAACGTCAATAAAATGAAACGCTTTCTTTCACACTATGCTAAGTGACTTTACGTATACACGGTGGAAAACTGGCAAAGCATACGGTGAATTTATTCTAGGGGTTTTCCTAGAACGTATGTGGCTTAAGATCGATCGAATTATGGATCTTTTGGTTGAAATTTTGGAAGTTTCTCCAAAAAAAAACCGGAGTTGGTATGTGTATGGAAACCTAATCCAATCAGAGGGTGCCTTGATTTTGTATTCTTTTTAACTTCGTGATATGTTGAGAAAAGTCTCAGTGAAGGCCGGAGTTAAAAAATTTCAAACGCTCATCGAATTGTAGTAGAAGGCTTCATTGTTATAGAAAAAGGCTTTACTGGTTTGTGTACAAAAGTTCAGTTAATATTTAGAGGATCCGCGAATTTTCAATAAGTTTCCATTAATTCAGAAATTTTGAACATGAAAATAGATTGACAAGTTCTAAACTTGTACAGATTTAGGGTTTAAATTTCTAAAGCTGCATTTTTTTAATTACCTTAATTGGGCAAAATTGTATAAAAAGTCCACCACTCGGTCTCATCGAAAAGGTGCTAGCTAGTGCAAAAATATAACCAGTTCAGAGCACAGGGTGACTTTCTAGCATTTTTCAAACTTCTTACAAAGAAAACTGTCGCAGTGTTGCAGAAAAAATCGAACTTTCAAGCGCGGGTTAACATAAATCTTATATTTTGCGAAATTACAAACGAAGCCTCAATTGGCACGTTTTCAAAAATGTATTCAGTTTAAAGTAATACCCGTTAATTTTCGACCAATTTTCAAACTTTCCATTACTAGAAAAGTACCTTAATTGGCCAATGTTGAATATAAAAATCCACAACTCTCAAACAAAAATATTGTAGTTATTGGAATATGTACCAAAATATAGTGAATTCAGTGAACACGGTGATTTTATAATATTTTCCAAACTTCTTATTGTGTATGGAAAACAGTTTCAATGTCACAGACCTTTCTAAATAATCGTAACTTCCAAACGGGGACTTCCAACTGCAGAAGAAGCCTCAATTAGCACGTGTACAAAAGTGCATTCCAATTAGAGTCGTGTTAATTTTCTACTAATTTCCAAAATTTCATTTTTTTTTGGAAACTACCTTATTTGGGCAATTTTCAAAACAAAAAACTTTCAAACGAGTACAGATCTAGAGTTAATCTTTCGATGTTTCATCGCAAAGGTCCTAGTTGGAATGTGTGTAAAAACATAGTAAATTTAAAACACCGATTATATTTCTATTAATTTTCAAACCGCCGATTATATTTAGAAACGCATTGTCCAGCTAATTTTGGCCTTTGGCTTCTTTAGCGGCTGTATTAATAAACATATATGATAGCAAGCAACTAATGAATGTAAAAAAGCCACGAATACAAAAAAGATTACCTAACAACTGGTGTCAGCTAATCAAAACCAAAAATTGAGCTAAGTATTTCTGAATATAACAAATTTTTCCATCCCCGTGTTTGAATCGAGATTGACAGTCATCGTGTAGAAGCAAAATAAGATTTGATCCAAAATCTTAAACTGGACGGAACTTTGGACCGAAGCACGTCCGAAAATGCAAGCCAGTCGTGCTAACCATCAAGAAGAAATTCTCTCTCGCGACGCCAAATACTCATGTTTCAAGCAATAACGTAACACTTGCCTCATAGAGTTTGAAAATGTTCGTTGTAGAAGCAAAAGTGGCAAAATTTTGGGTTCAAATACACTTATAAATTTATTTTCTTGCAGACTTGAGAAATCAAGAAATTATTATGCGATCCAATACATGTGATTGAAGCAACAACATCTGAAACCGTCTATTTTCCTTAAAATAAAAATATTTTATATATAAATATTAGATGAACCAGTTGGCAAACAACGGAGGCTCGGTCGCTTTGTTTTATTGATTTTAGAAGATTCCGACGCCGAATCACACGAATTTCATGGGAATGCTGGAAACGGAATCGCATTCGGTTGGATTTCCAGGAGCAGCCGTAATTTTGACTTTTGTACGATTGGAGTGTCGTTTTTGGGGCCGGGGCCAATGACAATACGAGAAACTTGCTGCGGACCAATCGGAACATTCAGCCCTGCAGTGGAGTTTCTCGCATTGCTGCGGATCTTATTGCGCGCGACGTCGTCTGCTCTACACCATTGGCGGGCTCTCCGACTTTTTTTTCTGTTTGATTGTCGGTTTCTACGATTGCTCTCTCGGTGTGACGATTTTCTGCGCAGAACCATTGAAATACACAAAATGTCACCAAAATAAAATCGCGAGCAGGATTTTATTGTGAATCCACGTTAAAATCTACTTACATTCATTTGGCAAAACAGCTACGGTTAGCTAGTTTATAGTTTCATAGAAGAACTGTTATTTGCTCATATAAGTTGTAGCATTTCACAAATTAATAAGAAGTGGTGCGTCATACCCACACATATTAAGAACACAGTTTATTAATAATATTTTATATTGTATATTTACTTTAAGAAGCGTTTGTTTTTCTTGAACGCCTGATCTTAGAAAACCATAATGTTAAATGCATGTTTCTTGTATACGATTGTTGGGTAAAAAGCGCTGAAAGAGCTATAGGGTTTATCCATCTTTCGAATAAAGATTTTTCTGCTATCAATACAACGGAATACGTTGTAGACTTTCAAAGCCAAAAGTGGCTAGTCGATTACCATCCATGCGTGTATTGCATAAAATTTCGCATTTAACTAACGTTTTTAATTTATTTGACCAAAACTACTCATTTTCCATACTAGAATTTTCAGCCGCCAAAAAATACCTTTCAGACGTTTTTTAATGTTTGGGCAGAATTTTAATCAAACACGAAAAAATGTGGAAAAACTGGAAGTCACGAAAATAAAATTGTGTATTTTAGTGGGATTGTAATTGTCACGTGACACTGCAAATAAAGCTTTGAAGCAATAAAACAACTTGGAGCTTTGAAAATCCCCTTCAAAAAACTCACATTGGACTTAAAATGCAATTTGCAATCTAACTAAGTTGCCAAATTATAGAAATCTTGTACCTACCTTTAGAATGCCAATTCCTGGCTCTACCTCATAGTCTCAAAATCATTAAAAGCCTCTAGAAGACCTCAAAATGTTCTCAACACTCGAAGCGCTCCCTTTAATCCAGCAAATAAATATTCAGCCAGTTGATGGAAAGTAGCCGCACTTCGGTATAACCTCCATAGGCTGTCAAAAAACGTCAAAAAATGCCCGTGTTTAAAAATTGCGTTTTTTCGTTAAAATTGCACTACTGAAAGACAAAAAGCGCAAAACCGCGTAGGAAATTTTTCTCATTTGAATTCTTTACAATTTGAGCGCCGGAAATGAAGAAAAATTGAGATTTTCCAAAATTTCCACAGAGCGAATTGCACAGAGTCGCTCCGTTCTGCCATTAGATTAGACTGATTTTGCAACAAAATGACAAGAAAATCAGCGTACTTTTGAAGGCTTCCAGCTTGATTAGCATGAGAAATTGAGCTTGATAAAACATTTTTTGTTTAAAATGTCTGCGCAACTTTTTGTAATTTTGGATTGTATTTCTCTTTGTTTTCCTCTTTGTATTGTATTTTGAGGATATTAAAAACCAAAATATTTACATCGAGCACATTTTCCACATTTTGCCAGACATTTTGGTATAACTCTCCCTCAATGCTATCAGATTATTGAGTTATGAAGGTTTTTAGGGCTTGATCTCGATCTCCTGGCCGTCCGACTGACCAGACTTAAATGCCTTGGACTGTTCTGCTTTCAACGACATTTTCATGTGTGATCGGTTTGATTAAACTTAATAGTTGCACCACTGACTAGGATTGCACCACTGACTTGAATAGCTTTTAGGATTTTGGATGTTTCGAAAAATGTGGCAATTAAATTGTCTTTTCTCAAGCCGAATGTCCAAGACGAAGTGCAACCGATGCCGCCTGTGCAGATGGGTCGATAGCTGAGCTGAAAGCGCTGCTAAGGTGGTGGCTCCCTGCCGCCCCCGGTGCTTCACGAGCTTTCTTGTCTCCGTTTGAGCTCAGCGACGGAGACTTGAAATAAACAAATTGAATATTTTTCTAAAAAGTGTGTAAATGCTTGACTCAAGTTGCTTTTAATTACTTTTCTTGGTTTGATTGACTTGACAACAACAACGAAGAACTGAAGCCACTAATTTTGGCTCAAAGCCTCCAGTTGAAATGCTCGAAACAATCGGGAACTGATTGGTTCAATAAAATTTCGGTAATCTTCGATCTGAAAATATGCGTTTTAAAATAAAAATCCACCTACTTTTTTCCGTTACTTTTTGTGCATTCCAATAAACAATTTCCTTGCTGAAATCAGGCATGTCGGTTTTAGCAGACTCTAAAGAATTTGTTGATGTTAAACAAAAATGTTTCTCCGTGTACGTGCTTTATTCGGCATTTTAAATTTTTATTGTTTATTTGTAGTTCTTTCGAACAAGGAACTTCCAATATGGCATCAACCCGAAACTCGATACATCGCATCCGTTTTATGCTGATTTTCCCCCGGGAAGAATATTAAATTAATAAATCTAAAAGGCGTCCTTCTAATATCGCGTTTTATGTGTCTCCCGCTCGCTCCGCTTTGTTTTACCTCCGCTCTAAGAATGTGGCCTGAGAGCGTATGGCTCCGCGAACTTTAAATTTAATTTTAGTTAAAATTTCTCTACAGTTATATTTCCAAGTTTTCTTGTATTTTATCCTGGACGGCTTATTTATGAGCATGGGCGTAGGCTAAGAATATTCTCCCATTTATGTGAAAGTTATCGTTAAAAATTGCTCGAAAGCTACTAAACTTTCACGTATGAAGAGCGGTACACAGAGCAGGGTGAATCAAAATAAATTCAACCATTTTAAATAAATTTTTTGGGTTCAACATAACTACTTTCTACATTAAACTAAATCGTTTCAATAACTGTTTTAATTTTTTTGTTTTAAAATGGAAAATATTTGATTTTGAGTGTTATTTAGGAGGGTTTATTTTAATTTTTATATTTGGAGTCGAAAAAATGCTTTCCTTTGCACTTTTAAAATAAAAAAATATCTAGGTAGTCCGAGGACGGATCTTAGAGGTTTTTGGCAACATTTTTCCACTTTCTAGGTAAGAATTATCTTATTAGCAAAGTTTTTACAATTAAATATTCCAGCGTGTGATTCAGGTTTTAATCAATAAAATTAACCAGGCGACAAACCAACACGTTTCCGAGATACAGGGTGTTAAAATTAAACTTTTTATTGGGTTCTAACTTTCGCCAAATTTAGAACGTAAATACGTTACGTTTCCAAGTCTTAACTTACTTACTATATTGAGCAATAGCAGGTATATACAGAGTGCTAGTTTTTGAGAGGTCAAGACCCTTTTTACATTTCAGGGCTTTTTTAAAGTCCATCATTTTTTTTAAATTTCTAACTCAATTTAGAAAAACTCTTATCTTACACGTTCGTCGTGTATTGCACCGTTTTCGAGTTATTTGCAAAAAAATTAACTAATGTAATTTTGCAAGTTTTAGAACCATGTCAAGAGTTTGCTGTTTAACCGTTTAAAAGCCAAAAATGTTTGGCTTTCCGCTGCCCAGGTTCTAAATCTCAAGAAAATTGCTCCAAAAATAGAAGAGTTATAAGAAAACGAACAGAATCACATTTCTTCTTTCAACACCCAAAGTGTTTGCATTCAATTATTTTTTTAGGTACATCTTCTTAACGTTTCCAATTAAAAATTGATTTGCCCTGTGTATTGGTTCAAGTATTACAAATCCACAGTCCACAGAAAGTCCTCATTGCTTCAGATTCTTTCGAGTTTTCTGTTACGTCTAGTTTTCGGTTACGTCGAGGAATCTCTGATTTTTTAAAAATTTTCAGATAATTTGGAAAACTAATTTTTATCGCCAATTAAATAACTAAATGTGTGGCCTAAAATTGGTCACTTATTTGACAAAAGAAAAAATAACTCTCTGGCTAAGTCTGACTGGAATTTCAGCAGGAACTCAAAGGCGACTTGACATTCGACCGGAGTTTTCCTTTTGCAACTTGAAACCTAATTGCATTCAAAACACATTAAAAGTTTTCGCGAAAGGGTAGCCGAATCGAATCCTTAAAGTTGCTCCAAATCCCTTTGATGTAAGCTGACAATGAATAAGTAAGACTTGGCATAGCAAGTTATCGTGCTCCGTTTTTGCGTTATTTTGAGAGCGAATGCAAAAGAATAATTGGGAATGATGATTAAATTCATTGAAATAAGCACTTAATGTACAATAAATTTGCAAAATTGCCTCTAAAGTTCAATGGGAGCCAGGAATTTGGGGGCGTTTGGACGGCGGCTGGTCGGTATGGCGTTTGAGAATAGTGGACGCAAATGTAAGCGAAACGTCTGGTTGCGAAAGCTCTATATGGGTGTAAATTTCAAGTAACATTTTACTTTACGAAAAATAATCGGCGCCTTTGCAAATACTCTGAATTGCAAACATCTGATTTTTTTATAAAGTTCACAATCTTGCACGTTTTATGCGATTACTTTAAGAGTATGAAATGCTGATTCTTCGTTTTCCTTGGCAAATAATGAAGAAGCCATCGAGCTACGTTCTTATGAGCAACATTTTTTATAAACACCCTTTGCGTTACCATTTTACTTGAAGCCAAAACTTTGTTAATTGATTTGCTTTTTTAAATCAATGTTTCAGTTAAAAAATTAACAAAATTACAGCATATTTACTGATTGTCTTACGATTTGAATTTTTTACTTAATAAATTAAACGACAACCGAACCACAGCAATGAAAACTAAAAAGTGAAATGATGTAAGTTGGAAAATTATTAATAATTTAGGCCATAAGCAAATATGCTGTAATTTCGTAAATTTTTAAGATTAAAGGATTTTTGCTAAAATAAAATCTTGAAAAAAATCGCAGCCTTTAATTAATTGACAACATTTTGGTTTGAAGTAGCATGGTAATGTACAGGGTGGTTCAAAAACTGAAGAAAAACATGGCTCTATTTTTTCCTCATTATTTGTCTTGGAAACTCACGAAACAAAATTTCATAAGTTCCAAATAATAGGGAAACAATTTTTAATAAAACTTTATCCGAAAAACCACTTGCACTTTTTTGGAACTGATTCTACATTAAAAATCGTCATTTAAGCAAAGTAGTAGGCCGTTTAAAAGCCTTTTAAAATGTTAATACATAATCATTATTTGATTATATGGCGATATTGCGTTCTGGAGAACCTGTACTACAGAAAATCGCTTTCTGTCGTCAAACTTCAATTTTTATTTCATGTCGCCCCCTATGTAAAGACCGATAGAAGCCATTTCAAACTTTATAAAGTAAATTCATACATCACATTAACATAATTTCTATAGAGAGCTACCGCCTAGCCAGTATTGAAAAATCTACCGTAACCAGTCAGAGACCAAAGTTCCATTTATTTAATAAAAACTTATAGTTGTAGCTCGTTTATCCTCGACTATCTATGAATCTTTTTAGTTAAATATTACAGTGATTATTATTATTTTCTGGAAGTAGTAGGCGTGGTTTCCTCCTATGTTGTTCTTCAAACGCTTCCTGAGGTTTTGTAAAAATTTTCCATCTTCTGTGTTTTTTACGAAAATGCTTTATGGATCACTTTTCATATCCTTGCGTTGCTTCCTCCATGCAATTAGGCTTTTGCTTTTGTAACAAAAATGAGAATTTTGGCTCCAAAATACAGTTTTCCTCGCTTCACAATGGGAAAAATGCCGAAATCGCACGCTGGAATCTGGTTTTATAATGTTTACTTCATGATCAGCTTCGCTTTAATCAAGCCCTTAAACTGCCCGTTTTTTCAAGCCCTTTTTCCTCCATTTTCACTTTGCACTTTTTTGACTATTAGCCACATTATCTACCTGAATTGTATTCTCATCAAAACTTTTTTTGATTATTTATTTGCCTATGAAATAATTTAACGATCTAATCCGACTCTAACCCGAATTGATGGAATGAGGTCAAGCAGACTAATCGAAAGGATTAGCAAGTAAAGGGATTCTAAATCGCAAAGAAAACAATCCGAGACAAAGGGGTTGCTGCCCAAAGGGCCAAAGCGAAGACGCAAAGCCAAAGGGGTAAAGTCTTGAGGGGTCGGCCGCAGAGATAATGGAATCAGACTAAGACTAAATGGAAGCTTAACACTTGTAGCGGTTTCCGGATTTGCCAGTCGTTCCGAATCAACAGTCTTCCGCCTCCGTCCATAACTAATGCCCCATTAAATTATTTGTATTCCTCCTTCTTCTTCTTGTTCGGAAATTTCATTAACTGTCAGGAATTTAAGGAGTATTTGCATTCGGGAGTATTATTATGACTCCCTGTGGGAAAGTGAACATCTTGAGGGGATCAGTTGTGTAAACTTGGAAAACTCACGGCGTACTGAATTATTAGGGTTGAAGAATC